GGCTGCCTTAGGGAGGATGAGACAAGCCTGAGCCCAGTCCCATGCTTCTGGTGCCTGCGGCAAAGTAACCCAGGATAAGGCTGTTTGAAGGTGGGTCCTGCCCAGCTGCTGGAGGGAGTTCTTTGAGGCTGCTTTCCTTTCCCTCCGGAAGGACATGGTGCCATGGGGAATGCCGGGCTGCATACCAGGGTGTCCCCACGCTGTGAGCAGCTTCACCAGGGGCACTTTGTGGGAGGAAGCTGGAGGCAGCACCCTGGGTTAAGGGTGTCTCTTGTAAATTTGGAGGCCATACAGAAGGAATAAGACCATACGGGAAACTGCTGTAGCCTGAGGAGCAGCGGCTGCCCGCTGTTGTCACAGGGAGGAGCCATGGCTCAGCTCCCCATCCCATGGCCCCTATCGGCATCCCCTCGCAGGGTGCTTTGGAGGGTGCTGATAAGCAGAGCTGTGCTCGGCTGTGCTGCACCGGGCTGCAGAGCGGGGGAACCACCACCGGCCCCATGCTTCCTGCTCGCGCCGGCACAAAGAGCTCCCGCTGCTCGGCGGAACCCGGCTGCGCTTTGATGGAAGGAAGCGAGCTGCTGCGGGTCGTGGGCCGGCCGGGGCTGAGCCCGGGACCTCGGCGTGCCAAGGGCAGCCCAGGCACCGGGAGCCGGCATCGCTGCTGCGCGCCGGCACATCCCTGCTCCAGGGCAGGAAGGGCTGCAGCCGTGTAATCGGCGCCCAGCAGCTGCCGCTGCGTGAGCCCGGCGCGGCCGGACAGGCCTGATGATAATGGTGCTTCCGTGGCCAGGTCTGCAAATGGGCTCCTGGGGAGCGGTGCTGGGCCTCATGCCGCGCTGCTCGGCTCCATTGGGTTTATAGATGCCCGTGCTGGCAGCTCCCCGGCAGCACGCAGGGCTCTGGAGGGAGAGAGGTGCCTTTGAGGGGAAGCAGTGCTGAATCAGCAGCCGTGGTTCTCCCACCCCTTTGGCCGATCCTCTTGCCAGCTCTTGCCATGGCGAGGCATGGTGCCTGTGCAGGGTGCCAGGCTGGCACAGGGCCCTGCTGCCCTGTGAGGTTCCCAGGGGGTTGGTGAGGATGGGGACACCGCATCCCAGCCCACACCTGGCTGGTAAGAGGTCTCTGGTTCAGCCGTCACGGAACTGGTAGCGCTGCACAGTGCTGGACTGACATGGCACTGCTCCCAGCCTGCGCATCCCCTCCTCTCCCTCCCAGGTGGCCTGGCCGGAGGGATCGAGATCTGCATCACATTCCCTACCGAGTATGTGAAGACACAGCTGCAGCTGGATGAGAAGGCAAACCCTCCCCGTTACAAGGGCATCGGTGAGCATGCCGGCCTGCTGGATGGGTTCAGAGGCTCCCGGGGAGCCTGGCTGGAGCTGGGGGGTCAGCGGGGTTTGTGGAGTGAGCAGTGGGGCTGGCACAGTGGCCTCAGCATAGCAGGTGATGGTGGTGCCGCTGTGCTCTGCTGCAGGAGACTGTGTGAAACAGACTGTCCGTGACCATGGCATCCGGGGGCTGTACCGGGGGCTCAGCTCGCTGGTGTACGGCTCCATCCCCAAGGCTGCTGTCAGGTAGGTGCCCCGTGATGTGGGGTGAGCTGGGGACTCTAGGCAGCAGCAAACAAAGGGTGGGTTTGCCCTCAGCATCCCCAGTGTCACTTCGCCAAAGGGTGCTTTCCTGGGTGGGAAGGGTCCCCTCGCAGGGTGCATGGCTGCTCCCGGGGGCAGACCCAGAACAGGGGGTGCAGGCCCCTGGCTGGGTGCCCTGGGGTTGCAGAGCGGCTCCTTTGCAGGTTTGGGATGTTCGAGTTCCTCAGTAACCAGATGAGAGATGAGCAGGGGCGGCTGGACAGCACTCGGGGCCTCATCTGCGGGCTGGGTGCCGGCGTGGCCGAGGCTGTGGCCGTTGTTTGCCCCATGGAGACCATAAAGGTGGGTGGGAGCAGCCACCGGTGTCCCCCTGCCCAGCACCCCACCCCGGGCAGAGTCGGGAGGGGATGAGAGCCAGGGATGCTTTCAGGGACCTGAGGGCCACGTGGGTTTGCCCAGGCTGGGTTTGTAGGGGAAGAGCTGATGCTGGAAAGCCCCATGGAGAGGTCAGGTCCAGCAACCACAGTCCCTTTCCCACTCTGGGGAGGAGTCCCCCCACCCAGGAGCCACCCCATCACCCAGTTTAGTACTGTAAAACCCATGTTGTTGCTTTCAGAAGCAGTTTCCCAGGTTTTTCTCTGCAAAATGCCATGGGCACAGGCTTCCCCTGTGGTCTCACCTTTCATTGCTTGGCCAGGAGGGTCAGCTCTGATTTTGGGACCATCCCTGGACAGGTAGCCATTAGCCCTTTGGGGACATTACATCTCCCCATGCCTTGGCCACGACAAGCTCATTGTCTCCCTGCAGGTGAAGTTTATCCATGACCAGTGCTCCCCCAAGCCCAAATACCGTGGCTTCTTCCATGGTGTACGGGAGATTGTTCGGGAACAGGGTGAGTCCCCAGGAAGAGGCACCCTGAGCCCTGGGGTGCTGCCGCACTGCAGGGACGGGGCAGGAGGTGGCACAGGCTGGGACCAGCAGCCTGGGGAGGTTTTTCTCTGCTGGTGGGGTTGGTGCTCTCCTCCAACGCCCTCTTGCTGCAGGACTGAAAGGGACCTACCAAGGCTTAACCGCGACTGTCCTCAAGCAAGGCTCAAACCAGGCCATCCGCTTCTTTGTCATGACCTCCCTCAAGAACTGGTACAAAGGTACGGTGTCCCTGTCCCCACAGCACACCCTGGGTTGCTGGCTTCTCCAGCCCATCCTCGGGAGCTGGGCTTGGGCTTTCCATCAGCCCATCCTCCACTTCTCGTGGCTCAGCCAGACCTGGAGCCTTCCTTGGGCTCCCTCGGGGATGCCGTGCTTCATCCCCACACCACCACTCTGCCCTCAACCTCTCCTCCTTCCCAGGGGATGATCCCAACAAGGTCATCAACCCCTTCGTCACGGGGGTGTTTGGAGCCCTCGCCGGAGCCGCGAGTGTCTTTGGCAACACCCCCTTGGACGTGGTAAAGACGAGGATGCAGGTACAGCACCGGGCATGGTGTGGGACCTCTCTGCCTGTGGTGGGATGGGGCCACTGTTGTTTGGGAGCTGTTTTGTGCAGCCCACAGGGCTGGCACCCAGTGCTGGTGATGTTTGGGAGATGCCTGGGGATGCTGCCCTCTCATAGGTGGGCTGTGGGATGCCAAAAAAGTGCACAGAGAAGATGGGGATGTCCCTGCTGGGTTTGGTGGCCCACAGCAACAAAGGGCAATCGGTTCCTCTTGGCTCCCCCCCAGCTCTGCCTCCCCTGTGAAATCCCCCCAGATGCATCCCTGCCTCTGGCCTCTGACCCTGCTTTTCCCATCCACAGGGGCTGGAAGCGCACAAGTACAAGAGCACCTGGGACTGTGCCTACCAGATCATGAAATACGAAGGGCCCCTTGCGTAAGCGCTGCGAGTGGCATGGGGGGAGCCGGGGAGAAGGATGGGCAAGGACAGGGGTTTCTGAGGGCACCGAGCCCCACGGATCCCCCTCTATCCCTGGCAGGTTTTACAAGGGCACGGTGCCTCGCCTGGGCCGCGTCTGCCTCGATGTGGCCATCGTCTTCATCATCTACGACGAGGTGGTCAAGCTCCTCAACAAGGTGTGGAAAACGGACTGAGGGGGCCAGGCCAGGCGGCCCCCACCTCCCTCACCCTGTGGGGATGCATCTGGAGAGCCGTGACCAAGTCTACTGGGGCCAAGTCTGCCCCACACTCACGCCTTCCCCCCACACCCGGCCACCTTTATGTTTAGTAACAGGCTCTGGAGCAGGTTAAATTATTAGTTGTGCGCTAAAAGGAGCAGGGAGGGAGCAGCATCTGTGTCCAGACCCTCAGCATCCTGGTTATGCCCACCCTGAGCCCCTGGTGACACTTCCTCCTGGTCCCATATCACTTGTAAGCGCCAGTTATCCAGGACAAGGTGTCCCCTGGGACGGTGGCCCAGGACCCCAGCAGCCAGGAGCTGCCTGTGGGCCAGCTCTTTTTTGGGTGCTGAGAGCCCCCCCAAGCCATGTGGGCACAATGTCCATGCTGTGCAGCAAGCACTGCAGCTGGAGGAGGCTCTTGGGGCTGATGCACCAGCTGGAAGCGATGCGGTGGGTCTCACAGCAGCTCCATGGGGATCCACCAGCCCTGCACATCCTGGTATGGGATGGCAGCGACCTCCTGGTGTGGTCCCAGGCTCCCTCCTCTTTGCAACCACCAACCCCCCCTGGGGTGCTGCATCCCAGCCCTGGGTCCTGCTCAGCGCTGGGCTGGCCGGAGTTGCACATACAGCCAGGCCTTTAGTTCTTGCTGCGGGGCCGGGGTGAGCCGGGTGCCCCATCACTTGCCGTTTACAGTCGAGACGCGTGTGCGAGCCGGGGTGTGGAGGCACAGCCCCGTCCCGCAGACTTGGCCCCTCGGCCGGGGTGCAAACCCCTTTTTCTGCCACATTCCCCCCATCTGCCCTCCCACTGCCTCTCTGCAGCTCCATAGGTAATCCTGTAGCTTTCTGAGCTTCATGCTGACCTACTAACACCCGTGGCCGTGGGGCTGGAGCCCTGCTCTGCCCCATGCTGGGCTTGGCCCTGCCGGATTTGTGCCAAACTTCTCCCAAAGGATCAGGGGGTGGGCACGGTAGCCAGGGCTCGACCCATCCCTTCTCCCTCCTGTTGCCCGTGATGAGCGCAGCCTTAACACAGGAGGGCAAAGGAGGAGAAGGAAAGCCCAGGCATGGTTTACCTGTGGCTTTCTGCTCTGAAGCCAGTGAGGGTTGCATTGGGTTTGTTTGGTTATTTTTACTGTTATTCTGTTTTACATTCGCAATTTGAATAAAATCAGTCTGGCTTTAGCAGCCCTGCTGGTGTCCAGGCTGTGCTGGGCACCTGCGGGCAGGGCTTGGGGATGGGGCTCCCCATTGTGTTGAGCTGGAGCTCCTGGGGGAGCATCGGCTTCGTCCCAAGGACAGTGGTGTATTCACCATCCTGGTTTACTGCCCTGGCCACGGAGCGCAGAGCTGGGATGGCAGCGGGCGGTGGAGCAGAAGGGAACAGGCTTTGTCCCCCGCCCAGCGCAGGGGCGGTGCGCTGGGCTCCCAACGCCACCGGCGTAGCCCTTGCTCCTCACCCGGCGTTCGCTGGTGCTGGGCAAAGCCGTCCCTTGGTGCTGCGGGGCGGCCGTGCCATGCGGGGCCTGCTGCTCTGCGGGGGCTGGCTGCTGGCCGCCGGCTGCCTGGTGGGTGCCAGCGGCAGCTGCCGGCACCGGTGCTGCCCGGGCAGGAACAACGCGTGCTGGGTGCTCGGTGTCCGCCGGGCTCACTGCTACTGCGACTCGTACTGCCAGAGGACGGGCGACTGCTGCCAGGACTACCACAGCGTGTGCCGCCGCGCCGGTGAGTGGTGGGAGGGGATGGCACTGGTTGAACCCCGGGGCTGGGAATGCCAGCCTCGGCTGCTGCTTTTGGTGGCAGATGTTTGCTGTTAGCCCTGTGCTTGGAGCACAACAGGATGTGTCTGAGGATCGCGGATGCCCGCTGGGCTGGATTTGGAGCAATATCCCCATTTTCCGCTTTTTTCCACGCTGGATGAGCGGATGCTCTTAGTGTAATGAGAACCGGCGGGGTTGGCCTCCGGTCGGCAGCTGATGGTAGTGCTCTTGTTGCAAGCCTGAGCTGTCAGTGTGGGACCTGAGCAGGATGAGCCCGGGCATCACCCCTGCCGCTGTTGCGGGCAGTGCCTTGCACGGGAACACGGGAATGAGGATGACAAACAGGGAGTGTAGGCTTGGGGGGTGCAGAGCCAGCCCGCCCCGGGAACCCAACCCTGGGGCAGCTCCCACAGCGGCCCCTGCACAATTGCAGCAGTCAGCCCTCCCTAATCTCCGGGGAGATTAGCGGGGTCCCAGCTCAGCGCGATGTAGAGCAGCAGCAGCAGCACGGGGATAAGGGCTGTGGAAGCCGAGCACAATGCCACTGTGCTGGAGCCCGGGGAGAGGGGCTGCCAGGGCCACGCCGGCCCTTTGCCGTCCTCCCATCCTGCATCTCCCCTGCTCCCCTTCCACCTTTGGTGCTACTGAAGCTGTTTCCCTCTGTCTCCCTGCTCTCCGGCAGCTGTGGGCTGTGCGGTGGGGCCCTGGGGGCCGTGGAGCGGGTGCAGCTCCCCGTGCGGGGTGGGCAGCAAGGCCCGCAGCCGCCAGGTCACCGTCCCGCCGCGGCACGGAGGGGAGCCCTGTCCTGACCTCAAGCAGCGCCGCGGCTGCCTGGGCGAGCACCCGACCTGCGGCACAGCCAAAGGTAACGCGGGTCCCGCTGGATGCCCGATCCCTCCTGCGCCGCTGTCCCCAGCGCTGCCAGCCCCGCTGCCTTGCCAGGGCACCGGTAACCACCCGCCTGTGTGTGTGTGTGTGTGTGTGTCCGTGTCCCGGCTGCCCTTCTGCCAGAAGTGGCCAAGATACTACCCGATTCCTTCAGCCAGGACTTCAGGGATCCCTGGCGAAGAGCTGGGATGCTGCTGCTGGAGGAGCCGTCCCGGTAGGTGTGGGGCTGGGGTCCCTCGGCACATCGCCCTGCAGCCACGGCACCTTGTAACCCCCAGATCCACGGTCTCTTTGCACCCCGCAGCCATTACCCTTCTCTCCCCACCCCAAACCATGGCTCCTTTTCACCCTTTTCTTGACCCCTGGCCTGTTTATACCCCACTAGAGCTAATACTTTTCTCCTCCACCACAGCCCCGTGGCCCCTTTGCACCACCCTACAAAATTAAGGCTGCTTTGAACCCCCCTCTTAAAGCTATTACCCCTCCCAAAACCATGATCCCTTTGTATCCCCCTAAATCTATGTCTCCTTTGCCCCCCATAGCCCCTATTCCAATGCTATACAGAGCCATGGCTCCTCTGTAGCCAGCCCCCCCCCCCCCCCCCCCCCAAGAGCTATGTCCCCTCTGCACCCCTCAGGACAATTACCCTTCCACCTCCCCACCCTGAAACAACAACCCATTTGCACCCCCCTCTAAATCCATCATCCCTCTGCAAACTGCCCCAGAGCCATTAACCTTCTCACCCCCAAACCCATGGCCATTCATACCTCCCTCCTCCATCAAGAGAACACCACAACCTCTGCCCTACCATCCAACCACCATTTCCCCCCTCTTTCTCCCCATTTTCCCCCCTCCCCAGCTCTCCCCTCCCCAGCTACTGCGGCTATTTCCGCCTGACACAGGTAGGGCCCCTGTGCCGAGAGCAGGCCTGGAGCCGCCGGCTGCACCCGAACAAGCAAGTGTGTGTAGAGTGCCGGGGGGACACGTCCCAACACCGTCCCCACTGCACCGGGCACGGGCTGCAGGGAGCCAGGTAGGGGGGAAGCCCCTTTGGAGGTGCAATGCACCCTTTAGGGCTCCTCCAAAGGGAGGAGCATCTCTCCGTGTCCCTAAGGCACCTTCCTTTTACATTCTTAATATATAAAATGAATATTATAATATGGCACAGCATGAGAAGTTAAATCGGTAATATGTACTATAAATCAGTAATATATAAAAATAAATAATATACTAATAGAATATTTCAGTTGGAAGGGGCCTACAGTTATCATCTAGTCCAACTGCCAATATGTGCTATATATACACAATATATAACTATAGATATCTAATTGTTTATGGCACACCCCAGCTCTTACCATCTTTCCCTTCCAGGACATTTTGGGTGGCTGCCTCCGTGGCAGGGTGTCAGGGCTCGTGGGTGCAGGAGAGGCTGCAGGAGGGTTGTGTCTGCTCTCCACCAGCTCTCATCTTCGTGTAGCCCCCCCAGGTGAGCTGAGCCGCTCCACTGCTGCTTGCTGGGGAGGCAGGGAATGAAATGAAAACATGGTGTCTTTTGTAATTTCACCCTTCTGCAGGCTTGCTGCTTGCCCTTGGAGCTGACTCCCTGTGCTCTCCATGAAGTATTTGGTTGAAGAGTGGGAAGAAACCCTGCTTATAAAGATTAAAAATAAGGGAGTCGCTGAAGTGTGGTGACTAACGGTGGAAGGACATCACACTGGTGACATGGGAGGACAATGTGATGATGTCAGGCTCAGCTGCGACATCATGCTGTGCAACGAGATGCTGTTGGCGAGCAGCTCGAGGATGGAGATCACATCCTTCCTCTGTGTGTTTGGGCTGGTCCCACTGCAGGGAACTGCTGGGTGAGCCGTGAAGGGCGCTCAGCTGCGTGCTGTGGTTTGCAGAGACAAATTAAACAGAGGTACCCAAAGTCTGCACGTGGGTGATGATGCTGGTGGGTGGCTGGGTTCAGCTGGAGGGAGTGGGGCTGAGCTGTGATGCTGGGCTGTGCTGGTGCCCTCCTCAGCCTGCATGACACGAGCCTGATGGTGGGGTGCCCAGCCCAGCCTTGGTACCCACAGCTGAGACATTGTGCTGGCAGCCTCACCCCTGCCTGCACCCACAAACCACCCCCTGAGTGACTTCACCCCTGCCAGGCTGGGTGCCAGGGGGTCTGTGTACCCTGGGGCTTGGGGTTTGAACCCCCCAGCTGTGGTTGGGAGCTGCTGCCTGTTTGCTGCCCCAGGATGCACCCAGCTCCTGCCGCCTCCCCCTCTCCCCCTGCCCCTCTGGAGCAGGGAAACCACAAGGCTTCAATGGGGATGATGCTCTTGGCCTCTTTATTTGGGATAAAAGCCCAGGTTGACCATGAGCTAAAAAAACACGTGCTGGGAGTTGAGCAGCACAAGATGGGGCAAAGCTCCAGGGAGCATGTCCCCTCCTCCCAGCCAGACCTGAGGGCAGGAATGCCGCAAGCAAGAGCATAGGCACAGGCCAAGGCGACGCTGCACTGGTGTCCTTGGGGTGGAGAGTTAGAAAACACTGGGAACAAAGTGAGTGTGTCCCGCACAGGGAGTGGGGGTCCCCTGAGTTACACCACCGAACCTGCAGTCCTGGCTGGTGGCCATAGACAGCATCCAGCAAATGGAGGGACGCGGCTGCGGGGCTCAGTGTGATGCTGCTCTGTGCCTGGAGCTGTCAGGCAGCCCCAGATGGTGGTCCCGGCTCCCCCAGCGCATTGCCCTGGCAGGGCACAGGGGCCAGCCCGTGCTGCGCCAGCAGCCCCTGCACCAGCTCCAGCTCCTGCTCCAGCTCCTGGGTGCCACAGCCCAGCCCTGGCACGGTGGCAGCATCTTCCCCCAGCACCTGCAGCGCCTGTGCCGCCAGCCGGGCCCTCACCAGCAGCACGGCCATGGCTGCGTGCAGCTTGGCACAGCCCAGCGCCTTCATCCCACAGCGGGCAGCAGCTTCTGCGGAGAGAGCAGGCAAAGGAGCTATGAGCATGGCAGAGCTGGCCTGGGGACAAGGACACCAGCTTGCCTGTCCCAAGGCTGCACGCTGTGCCGTACCTTGGCTCCAGTGCTGCTTGCAGTACTGCAGGTCGTGCAGGACACCGGGGCCTGTGGCTGTCAACCAGTGCAGAGCCGAGGCACGGACTGCAATGCTGGTGGATGCCTTCTCCAGGAGCTGCAGCAGGATGGGGAGCAGCTGCCACGCCAGGACAGCCGGCTCCGCAAAAACATTGGGTTCATCCTCTTTGTACAGGCTGATGGCTCTAGGGGAGAAAGATGAGGTACAAGTGAAGCCAAAGGCCAGCCCCATGGTACCCTGTGCTCCCCTGTACCTCCTGCCCACAGGTCTGGCAACTCACTTGTTGGCCTCCAGCTCCTTCACAATGCCCCTGAGATCTAGGACAGGGAGGTGCTGCAGCAGCATGTCAAAGGTTTCAGGGTGCTCCCCAAACTCTGCCAGGAGGAGCCGCAGGAGGCCCTGCAGCCCCACGTTGTCCTGAACAAAGACGCAGCTGTCGTGGAGCGGCTCCCCGGGGTCCTGCTGCAGGAGGCTGGCGAAACCCGCGGCCTCGTGCCGGACCTCCCGCTCCTCGTCTTGCAGAAGGTGAATGCCCACATTTATCAGCCTGGGGAGAGGGAAGGGAAAGGAAGGTCACTGCACTCCTCAGAGCACCCCCAGCCTGCCTGGAGGGGAGGGAAGGATGAGACCTCCTAGGGGAATGCTTCCCTGAGGGCCTTTTCTCCCGGGTTGTGAAAGGCAGAGCCACCACCCAAGCGCTGGCAGCTGGGGAGGGCAGGGACTGCAACAGGGACTGTGGGACCCAGCAGTGCAATTTGCTGCACAGAAAGGACTGGTTGCTTCTATTAAAATGCCACCCACAAACGTTTTGTAGGCTTGGGTGCTGCTGATTTTTGAATGAGTGGGGTTTTCTTTAAATCCCCTGAGTTTTTTGTAGGGGACATCCTTCACAGTCAGCTAACCCACAGCACCCTGGGGCTGGGGCTCCAAGAGCAGTGCTATTGGGAATGCGTTGCAGCCACGGGCAGTGGGGATGTATGCGGCCAGGGGATGTGCTCAGTGACCTACCGCAGAGCCACGGGGACAAGCACAGGACAGGCAGCACGCAGGGACCGCCGCACCACGGCAGCACCTGCTGTCTGCAGCGAGCGGGCAGCCGCCAGCCGCAGCTCCTCGCACGCAGCGGAGCGGCTGCACTCCTCCAGCGCCGCGCACCATCGCTGGACCAGTGCGCCGTCCTCATCCCCAAACCTGCCAGGGAAGCACGGGGAACTCAGAACACCTTGAGCTCCATCCAGTGGATGGCAGCTACCGCCTGCCCTGAGACTGCAGGACCCAGATGCAAAGATGTGATTCGTAAATCATAGAATCAACTCATTTGGAAAAAGACCTTTAAGTTCATCAAGTCCAGCCACTACCCCAGGACTGCCAAGACCACCACTAAACCCGGTCACTAAGGGCCTCATGTACGTGCTGTCTGAACACTTCCAGGGATGGTGATTTCACCATTGCCCTGGGCAGCCTGTTTCAATACCTGACCACCCTCTCAGTGAAGATTTTTTTCCTAATATCCAATCTAAACCTCCCCTGGTGCAGCTTGAGGCCATTACCTCTTGTCCTGTCACTTGTTACTTGGGAGAAGAGACCGACCCCCACCTCACTACAACCTCCTTTCAGGTAGATGAGAAGTCACAGCTCTGTTTCCAGCAAGGACTAAGGAGAAGTCTCCTGGAAGGGTCAGGCTGAAGCCTTGGCAGCAGCAGGGACCTACCGGTGGGTGAGCAGCAGGCTGGCAGCACACAGCGCCTGGAAGAGGAGATCGGGACCAGGACACTCAGTTTCCACCATGTGCAGCAGCATCTCCAGGCATGCTGCCGAGGAGCCCTGGAGCTTACGGGAAGCTTCCTGGGACCACGAGGAGGGGTCTCTGTAAAGATGCAGCAAAGCCTCAAGGTACAATCTCAGGAACTCTCTGTCCCTTCTCTCTCGCAGCACCGACCGCAAGCTCTCCTAGTTGACAGTGGGAAAGAAGGTACATGGTTAGTGGCCCTGACACAACACGGTGGCAACCTCAGCACAACCAGGCAAGTGCCTGCACCCTCAGCCCAGGGAGCACTGTGCTTCTCAGAGAGCACCCAGGGTCCCATCTGCGCAGTGCAATGGGGACCTTCTGCTTTACTTAGTGACTTTTGAGCCTTGCCATACCAGCAATGTTAGCCCGAGAGCCTTCTTCAGCTCCTCACACGTTCCTTCCTTCCTGGCGATAGCCCAGCTCAGGATGGCAAGCTGGACATCAGGATTTGACTGCTGGACAAGTGAGCAGACAGCACCAATCCTCTTGCTATCCGCCAGCCGCACTGCCTCACTGCACATGAAGCGGGCCATCGTTTGGTGGAGTACGGCCAGGCCCACCTGGAAGCAAACCAAGATTCCCCTTCCAACGCTCAGCCTCAAGTGATGGGACCCATGTCCCACCCCAGGCTCACTGCCAGGAAGGCCATGGCCATGCTTGTCCTGGCAGGCAGTGATACCTGCAGCTCGACACATCCTGGCTTGCCTCCTGGGGGGAGGCTGCCCAGCTCGGTGCTGATGGCATCATGGATGCTCTGGGCCAAGCTAGGGCTGAAGGATGCGGGCAGAAGGGTGAGGACCCGGAGGAAGGCATCACGGATGAGCGGGCAGCGCTGGGCAGGGGTGAGCAGCCAAACACGTGCCTCCAGCTGCAGAGCCACAGGGTGCAGCGTCTCAGCCGACAGCCTGTGGGGAGACACACTGCTCACCACACTGCTCACCACGCTGCTCATCACTGTTCAGCACAGGGCGCTCTGTGGCCAAAAGCTGCGTCTTGGTGCAGAGTGACATGGGCAGGGGCATGGCACAGGAACACTCACCCACTGGTGCCCGCAGTGGGCGCCAGCAGTGCCTGCATCTGCAGCAGGCGCCCATGGACAGCATTGTGCGAGCGGACCTGTCTGGGTGTTGTGGGCAGCTGCTGGGCCAGCTGCAGGAGGAACCCAGGGCGCCGGGGCAGTGGGATGACGGGCACCAGTGCCTTGGCAGCCATCGCTCGCACAGCATAGATGGGGCTCCCTGCCAGCCCCAGCAGCGGCTCCAGGAAGCGAGCAGAGGGGCTGTAAAGCAAAAAGGACACCACACGGTGATGCTCTGGCTGGAGCAAAACCCCCAGAAGACCAGAGCCATCCCCAGCACCACGAGACCACATCCCATCGTGGGAGCCCTTGGATGGGGCAGAGCATCCCCACTGCCCCTTACCTGCTGGGGCCATCAGCACCAGGCTGCAGCTGGGCCAGGAAGGTGAGGATCGCATGGAGTGCAGGGCGCAGGCAGGGCCCCGCTGGCATGGGCCCTTCGGCTGCCTCCAGCTCTCCCAGCAGCACAGCCCCCAGCTGCGGGTGCTGCCCCAGGAATGCCTGCAGGCTCAGCCCCTCCATCGGGCAGCTCTCCCCACGGCTCCGCTGCTGGCCCAGCAGCCGGGATGTGAGGGCGCCTGCACAGAGCATAAATCAGCATCAGGTCCCATCCATTCCCTGCCCGATGCCCCACACTTTGCCCCAGCCAGGTTGGAACCCCACGTGCTCTCTCCCCTCGGTACTCACTGAAGAGCTGGATAGCTGCATTCCTCATGGCCCAGCAGGGCGAGCCAAGGCCCCGCAGTGACAGGGCCACCATCGGCGTGGTGTGCCACAGCAGCGCGCTGCCCAGCCCCGTGCCATGGACCAGCGTCTGCAGCACATGGAGGGCACACACCTGGGGAGAGCGTGAGGGGCTCAGCAGCACTGCACGGGGAGGGGGCTTGTGCTTCTGTGCAAAGGGAAGGTCAGGGAAGAGAGGGTGGGACCAAGGGGCCATCAGCTCTTGGGCTGCTGTGGTCTCTGCACTAGCGC